TGTTCCTCAGCTGTAGGACAAAGGCTTTCTTAGTCCTAGGGTCTTGTAGTCTGCTGATGTCATATCTAGGGGTGGTGTATTTGTTTGGTCCAGCTGCTCTGAGTTTCAGTCTCACCTTTGCAGTCACAAGATGGTGATCGCTGCTTGCATCAGCCCCTCTTTTTACTCTTACGTCAAGCAGGGAGCGGCGCCACATGCTGTTAACCATGAGATGGTCTATTTGGTTTTGATCCCTCCCATTTGGGGATGTCCAGGTGAGTTTGTGAATGTTGCGACGCGGGAATAAAGTTCCACCAATGATCATGTTATTGAATGCACACCATTCTACCAGCCTCTCTCCATTGTCATTCTGCAGTCCACATCCTTCTCTTCATATTACCGTTTCAAAATTCATGTTGTCTGAGCCGACCTTAGCATTAAGGTCACCCATCACAAGCAGGAGGTCCCTACGATGGACGTTCTCAAGTGTCGCTTGCAGCTGCTCATAGAAGGCTTCTTCGTCTCTGTCTTTTATTAATATGAACTTATTGATGAAATAAACTTTATTGCTTTGATACTAGCAATAAAGTTTATTTCATCAATAAGTTCTTATTAATAAAACGTAGTTAATTCTCTCATACTTCACATGTTGTGTTCATACGAGTTGAATTGAACCAAAATAACAAATACAGACCTTTACGAGAAGTCAGAGACCACGTAGGACAGTTCAGACTTCATGAATGACTTGTTTCTTTTCGAAGAATATTTCAGAAGGAAAAAGAAATTCCCACAATCTATAAAAAAGATCATTTGAGTAGAAAATTTACTCGCACCACCAGTGCTGATCCACCTGCCACTTTATTGTCAAAATATTTTAGTAACGTCGCGGCAGCGATTATACTTTCCAGAATAAGCTTTGAAAACAGCGCTGACGAAAGAATGAAACTAATATCTTATTTTGAATAAATTAAGACGTTCATTATCAGATCGATTTTTTTTCTTGGTTAACTCCGGGCCCCGAGTTAAAGCAGGGTTCAAATACAGCCCGGGTCTAGGGTTGAATGCCCTAAATACTGACACAGTACATCACCTATCTACTAGATATATTGAGTTCACGTATGAACCCATTCTCAGGCTGGCGTTTATACTCAGGTCCTACGCAATTTAAGGGAGCAAGGTTAACATCAGTTTATAGAATAAAAAGCTCCACCTTTTGGAAGGTAGTTCTGGTGTTTTACTCAGTACAGGTTGCAATCAATAGATGGCTACTAGGTAAGCGCGCTTCAAAAAGTTCCGGCCTCAGTTGTTCGAAGGCTGGATAACGCTATCCACCGGATAAATCGCTATCCAGTGGATAAGTGTTAACAAAACAAACCACGCTATCCACTGCTATCCACTGGATAGTGATTTATCCGGTGGATAGCGTTGTCTGCCCTCTGAACAATCCGGGTCTGCCATATGTGGCGGCGTTCTGAGTGTGCGCATGCAGGTTATTCTGGACTCTTTCTTCTCCCGTCGGCGTTAAAACTTTATTTGGGGCGGGGAACGGGGTACTTATAAATCGCTCCTCTCCTTCCAAAGAAAGAGCACAGTTGTGTGAGCTCATTTGTCGCTTTAGTAGCCGGGCCTTAGTACGCTTCAGGTTATTTATCTATCGCCTTACCGACCTCGAGTTATATCCGTGCCATTATTGACACTGAACTTGTCAAAGTCCTTTGAAATCTTTTCGCGCAAGACAAAATTCAGAATTCGATTGTTTTTGGTTCGTAACTCGGACCTGTCTTACAAATTAACACTGCAAATTATTTCAATAGTGCGTGCTTACATTACTGATAGTCCTTTTCACGGTTAACTTTGCTCATTTGCATTGCAATAAAATCTAGCATGTATGTGAGGAAATTTCGGGCTATTTTGTAGTTTTAGCCCGAAATTGTCTCGCATCCACGTTGGAACACATTGTAATGCAAATGAGAAAAATTAACAGTGAAAAGGGCGATTATTCATCACAATTTCAGTTTGTTATCGACTTCTGTTGGTTCGTGCTCCGTGTCATAAAATGTTGAAGAAGGAGATAGACTTGGTCTGTGGCCAGCTACCAATCACTGAGCCCAAAAAGAGATACAATCAACCTGAAATCATGATGGTTTGGCGAAGCACACGATACAGACGTTGCACGTGTCTGATTAATTATCCTGGAGGCATTGCGCTGCCGTATAATACTTTCCAGGTTTGTAGAAATTCGTCAGTATAGGAGGCAGTATCAACTTGAAGTGATATTAACTGCTTGTTTTACCAACATTTGTTTTGCGAATTTGTTTTTTGAGTGCCCCCAGCCTATTATTCGAACGACACTCACAGTAATTCGAGAAAAACATGTTTGCAGTCTGGTGAAGACTGTCGGGATACAAACAGACTTTTTGCAGTGATGGGGGGGGGGGAACTCCCATATAAAAAGGACGGGGGTGTTCGTCGTACTTTTTAGGGGTTAAAAGGCATTTTTAGTACCCCTTAGGGTGTTCAGCCTCAAAAGGTCGACAATGGGAGCCTATTTGACAGAGGATATTTGCCAATCTATGC